ACATGTCCGCTAGGAGGACGGCACCGCACAGTTCCAAGCGCGGCAGTGACACCGTCTTGACTGGCGCCACCCTGGTCTTGGATACCAGGAGATGGACCTGCACTTGCCTGTGCGTCTCGACGCGCAAGTAGATGGCCGCCCCGTATGCCTGCTGCGATGCGTCACAAAAACCGTGGTATTGAAACGTACCTTGTGGGCGAAAATGAATCCACCGTGGGATCCGGATCCGGTCTAGCGTGGGATAACTCCGCAGGAACTCGTTCCACCTCTGCTGCAGCTCGGAGGGGAGCGGATCATCCCATCCGATTCCGCTGAGCCAGATTTCTTGCATAAAAATCTTGGAACGGACAATAATTGGCGCCAGCCATCCGGCGGGATCGAACAGCCTGGAAATCTGGGCCAGGACCTCCCGTTTGGTGAATGAGGACCCTTCCTCCAAAGCGGATGCGATGAACAGGAACTCATCGTCGGTGGCCTTCCAGCGGATGCCCAGCGTCTTAGTCATGCTGGCATCCTCAATGTCTAAGAAGTCGGCGCGCAGCAGATGCTCTGGTGGGATGCCGCGAAGAATGTCCTTGTTGTTGGCGACCCACTTGCGCAGTGGGAAACCTGCTGCGCTGAAAGCCGCTCGTATCTCTCGTATGGATGAGAGTGCTTCCTGCTTCGTATGTGCTCCGGCCAGGACGTCATCCACATACATGAAGTCCGTGAGGACCCGGCTGGCGAGCGGATACTGCGCCTTGGAGTCTTCGGCAAGCTGCAGGAGCACGCGGATGGCCAGGAAAGGCGCACAGTTCACCCCGAAAGTGACTGTTTGGAGCTCGAAATCCCGCACGTCACCTGCCGGATCGCGGAACAGGATTCTCTGGAACCGGGTATGTGCGGGGTCGACCAGAATCTGCCGATACATCTTAGTGATGTCGGCACTGAAAACGTGCTGGAAAAAACGCCACTTCAACACCTGTAAAGTCAGGTCGGCCTGTAGGACGGGCCCCGTGTGAAGTACGTCGTTTAAGCTGTTCCCGTTGGACGACGGGCAGGATGCGTTGAAGACCACGCGGACCTTGGTCGTGGTGCTGTCCGGCTTCAGCACCGCGTGATGGGGCAGGTAAAAATTGGCGTTGTCCGTTGGAGGAGGGACAGGGCGCATGTGCCCTAAGTCGAGATACTCGTTGATGACTGCGTCATACTGCTCCTTCAACGAAGCGTTCCTAAGCAGCCGAGCCTCGTTCTTGAGGAACTGGGCCATCGCGATGGATCTAGAATGGCCCAGTTGAATGTCCTGGGGGTCCTTGAAAGGCAGCGAGACCGTGTATCTGCCATCCGGCCGCCGGCTGGTGGTCTGGACGAAAAGCTGTTCGCACACTGCGCCCGCTTCCTTCTCGCAACTCACCGGGATGTCCTCCACCTCCCAGAACTTGGTGAGCAGCTGATCCAAGGAAGGCTGTGTGCCTGCTGAAATGCGCGTGGTGAAGGAACGGATGGCCGTCTTCCTTGCCGCCGCTACTGGTCCGGTCAGAATCCATCCGAAAATGGTCTCCTGTGCCAGCAGCGAGCCGCAGACGTTTGGCCGGCTAGCCGGCCGCCTAGCAGCACGGCAGGTAGTATGTCAGCGCCGATGAGCAAATCGATGGTGGCGCTTCGGAAAAAACACGGGTCTGCCAACGGCAGGTCAGGAAGATCTCTCAAGGATTCGCTGGATATGGGAAACGATGGCAGGGCGCCTGCCAGTTGCGGCAGCACGTATGCCGCCGTCTCGACTTCGCGCCTCGGTTGTGAGGAAGATGCCAGCTTGACACTGCACACCTTGGTCGCGAGCCCAGACGTGGTCGCGTTCAGCCCCGATACCTGGGCCTGCACCTTCTGGAACGGCAGCCGAAGAGATCTGCGTAGGCGCTCTGAAACGAAAGTTCCCTCGGAGCCAGAGTCGATGAGCGCACGCGCGGCGTAGACGCTACCCAAATGGAGCACGTTCACTATAGCCGTGCCGAGGAGGACGCCCTGAACGCTGCTGCTGAAATAGCTCTGAACATTCGACGAAGTGGACTGTAATGGATTGCAATGTGGAGGGGGAACTGATGCTGAGGGCGCCGATGGAAGGGAGGGGCCACGGTGTAGGAGAGTGTGGTGGCGCCCCTTGCACGTAGCGCAGTTGTACTGGCTTGTGCAAGCGTTTAGTTGGTGCCCGCGGGCGAAACAATTCATGCAAAGCTTCTGATTCTTGATCACCTTGCATCGGTCCTTGACCGACATTTGCAGAAAACGCGGACACAGGCGCACGGGGTGGTTCTCCTTCGAGCAAAGATTACAGGTCTGCGGACTGTTGCGGACCTTCGTCTCGAAAGAGTTGACCTTCCTCGCAGCCGGCTCCTTTTGAGCTGGCTTTGGAACGCGGGTGCGGAGGCCCAGGGTCGCATCATTTATCGCTTCCAATGTGCGATAGCGATCCGAGAGGAACTGATTCATGTCGCTCCAGGGCGGAATTTCGGACTTGTCCTTTACCGACTGCTCCCATAAGGAAAGGGTAGCTGGAGGAAGCTTGGTGGCGCAGAAAAACACCAAAAGGCAATCCCAGTCCTGGGTGCCAATCTTGGCATTCTGGACAGCCGTTAAGCACCCTTGGATTGTGCTCTGGAGCTCCTTGATGGCGATGCCACACTCCGAAAGAATAGGCTGGAGGTTGGCGAGGATCTTGAGCTGACTGTTGACCAACAATCGCTTGTTTTCGAAACGCTCAGTTAGGTTTTTCCAAGCTGAGGCGAAACCGTCGTTGGTCAGTGGGGAATTACGCACGATGTCCTTCGCTTCGCCGCGAGTTTTGGAGAGGAGGTGGTAAAGTTTTTCCACCTCTGTCAACCGCTGGTTGCGAATGTACAACGCGGTGAAGAGGTCCCTGAACGTGGGCCACTTCAGGTAGTCGCCAGTGAAAACCTCGGTGTCCACTGGCGGAAGGATACAGCCCCTGACTGGGGGCTCGGGACTTGGAGCGGGAGCGCTGCTCCGCGCGGACGCGTCTTGTATCCGCGTGGTGAGCTGAGTGGCGCACCGCTCATAGACGCGGTAGCAGTGATCATACTTCATCTGTAAGGCCTGCTTGTCGGAATCGCTGGACTCTGATTGGCTCAGAGCCCGGAAACAGCGCCGACGCTCTTGCTGAACCTGTTCCCACAGGGCTTTGACTTGGTCCAGTTGGATCTGCTGCGTGACAAGCGTCACGGCTGGGTCGGACGAAGAAACTAGTGCCTCAAAATGGCACAGGTCATCGCTGACCGAAATGAATTCGTCCAACACCATTTTGATCGTTTTGGAAGCGATCCGAACAGCTGCTCGAGTAGACGGAACGGGTTTCGCAATTCTGGGCACCCTCACAGAGAGCTGTGGCGAACAGCTGGTCTTCCTTGGAGAAGGAGACGAAAAGGCGTTCACGGACAAATGTGATTTGGGGCTGCCCTTCTTGGCGGTGGAAGGCGAAGGTTTTTTCAACAACAAGCGTGAACCCGGACTGCTCCTCTTGGAGGTAGAGGGCGAAACCTTCTTCAACGACGACGGTGGTTTCGGAATAACCCCTTTTGACGTCGACGGCGAAACTGTTTTTACAAGGGACGGTGTCGGAACCGAACTGGATTGCGCATCAGAAGAAGGAACGGCCAAACGCTGAGAAGTGGATGGGGCGACCGAGGTAGACGGATGGACTAAATGCTTCTTCGTGTCCTCCTCGCCTTCACTGGGCATACTAGGCTCTCACACGAGCCTGCTAGAGTGGGCCCACTTGAGGCAGGTCGGGTATGAGTCCGCCGGAAAACGGCGTTGCTGACCGCTTATGGCGCGCAAAATTCTGCGACAAGTTTTATTTACTGGCTTATGCTAGCTGGAGGTGCTGAAAACTTGTCGGACACAAGCTCACAAGAATATGTGTAGCCACCGAAATAAAAGAGAAAATGGATTTCGTTTTTTCTATGTTTGTTTTATTAAAATTAATTAAACACCGCGGCAGCAATAAATATATGTGCAATTAAGTTGCTGGACAGCTGCAGGCGGTGATATGCGACGAAGAATCCAAAAAATCCAACAGAAAAAAAAACCCAAAAATAAATATAAATTAAAGCTGGATAAAATAACTGCCAGCTAGAGGTGCTGGAAAGGTTCGGGAAAAAGTCCACAAGGATATGTGTATTCACCGAAAAAATTTGGATTTATTTTTATTTGATTTTATTAAAGTTGCTGAAAAAATCGCAGCAAAAACTACACGCAATTACGTTGATGGAGAAAGACCAGCTGGAGGCGCTGGTATGCGACAAGGAATCCCAAAGAAACATAAAAAAAACAATAATAAATTTTATTTAATTTATTAAGTTACTTTTTGGGATAAAGTAACTGTATTTAATTTTATTAAGTGATTTCCGGGATAGCGGACCGCCAGTAGCAATTGGTCACAGTGATTATCGAAATTAATAATTCAGCTGTGACTCGTTACCGTGACCAAGTTTCTGGTCACACTCCAATTTCGATGATTGTAGCTTCCGATAACTGATTTTACACAAGTGTCATCACTTGTTTACCTTTAATGGGTAAGTAAAAATTTTAAGTGCAAAAACGCAATATGTTTTAATTTTCGCACAAGCGCCGACGCTGGATATCGCGCGGGCTATAAGGAATACCAACTGGAGTGTTGGCACGTAGCGGGGAGTCGTGGACCGACCGGTGAGTGTATAGGATTGTGTTAGTAATTAAATATATGAGTGTAAATATGTTTGTGTGTAAATATTATGGTTCGTATATTTAGTGCATGCAGATGTGTTTATAGCGGACTCAAATGTATATAGATATATATATATATATATATATATCAGCGTATGCGGACGTACGTTTGTTTCCGCTGCCGATATATGAAAACGTGTATAGATTTATACGCCGCGGATGTATATAAAGTGCATGTATATAAGCATATGTGGAAATATGTCTATTGTGTAATGTGCATGTATATAAAGTGCATGTATATAAGCATATGTGGAAATATGTCTATTGTATAATGTGCATGTATATAAAGTGCATGTATATAAGCATATGTGGAAATATGTCTATTGTGTGACGGACCATGCAAAAACTATGTGGTGTGAATTGTGCATTAGGAACGTGCAGGTAAAACAGGTGTGTTTCCCACTGGACACTTGTTGCATATGGGAAAGAATATGCGCAAGTATGCCAAGATGCAAACGCAAACGGACGGAGTTCGGGTTGAACCTGCTAATTGTTGCACTTCACTTTTCGTTTAAGCGGACCAGCGCGGTACCGGCGTTAGACGAGATGAGGCCCTTGGATAAGGGACGGACAGCGGGATGCTGTTCCGTTGTGGGGGTCGGCGGACAGACCGACAGTGAACAAATATGGCGTAAGTATCGCGCCACAAGTAAATAGTTTACTTAGCTGCTTCTCCTCGCAGGTATCCAACGCCAGGAACAAGCTGGGGCGAACGGTCGTAGGCTGCACAGGACTTGGAAGGAACAGGAGGTGCACCTGAAGATCCGGCTCGAAGGACAATGTTGGCGTGGGGCGTTGGGGGTGAAAGTCCAAAAACCGCAAGGGAAGTAAAAATGGCGTCTGCTTTCCTTTTCACTGTGACGTGACTCGCACGTATATATATATTCTTCACTTGTATGACAATTTGAAACTAAACTTAACCTAATTGCAGTGGCGCTTAGCTGCCCATATGAAAGAGGGAGAGGCCGCCGACGCTAGCAGCGCTCTGCCAGCAGATGTTGCTGGCAAGCGTTGCCATGTCAACACTGGCAGAGTGCTGCCACATCAACTTTAATTTTACATTTTTCGTCTTATTCTATCCTAACGGTGTCAAGTGGATTTCCCCTCCATCTGTATATTCCAAGCCTTTCTTAAACGCAGTGTGCACCCACCCTTAAACGCTGTCGCGGTCCTATTTGCCTATGCATTTCTTGTTACCTACTATGCGTTGGTCTGTACCACTGCTGCATGCGGCTATTTTTAGACCGAGATTTGTTGCTTAGCCTACCTACTGCTTGTGCTCCCTATGCTAACTTCTGAGCTCTTGTTCACTTTTGTGAACAAAGTTCTACTCAATATTTACTGGTATTTAAATTGGACAGCAAGTGGCCTGCAGTATGCAGCGAACATATGACAAACAATATATTTAATTGTAATAATAAGTCATACCTACATAGTGTTTGCCAGTTTACCGCACACGCGCAATTCGCACTTCCAATATAAAAAGCTCTCTCAGAGAGGTGGAAAAAAGTAAAGCGTGGTACTTACTTACAGCTGGTGGATCCACGTCCAAAAGATCTTTCGTGTGGTTGCCAGCTGAAAACAAAAGCAACATTACGCGAGAGAGGCGGCAAAGCAAATTGTTTTTTTTCCTTTTTGTTGGTGTCAATTTTTGGCTACTGCGCTGGCGCACATATTTTTGCATATAACTTTCAATGCAATCTAACAATCAAAAAGAACTAAAAACAAATTAGAATGATTTCACTTATATAGAACTAAAACCATAAAAAAAAAAATTTTTTTTAATGTATTATTATTATAATTCTAAGTCAGATTTTGTGGTAATGCCTTTTTTGGTGCTAGAGGGCACCAGACCAATTTCGAGTTGAGCGCGCACGCAACTGTTCACTTCAGGGGTCGAAACCAAAAAGCAAGAGCTTGATCAACAACGAAGAAAGGATACCTTGTCTGCGGGAATTTCTCCTTTCTTCCGTCCTTTGACAGCGAGTGTCAGACCAAAATAAATTCTCGATGATGTTACTTCTACTTTCACTATCCACCAAAGGGTGATAAATTCTACGAACTAGGAAGAAGCATAAAACAGAAGGGAACCAAATATCTCTTTTGCCTACTTCTGGGCTTGTATGAAAATTCAAAAATCTTTTCTGCTACGCGAGGCAAGCGCACTACAGGGTTCAATCGCGCCTAAATTGGCACAACTTTGCAGCAGATTTCTTGGTTCTTAGGTCGATTTCGACAGCTCAACCAGGTCGTGCCTGCGAAACAGTGGAAAATACCTTCCAACATTGACTTAACCGATCCAGAATTTTACAGCCAGCCAAGGTCGATTTATTTCTTGGGAAAACAAACAGCGCGTCGTTTTCGATGCATCAAGCAAAACTTCGACGTCGGTTTCACTCAACGAAACTTTAATAGCCGGTCCTACTGTTCAGAGGGAGCTTTGTGCGACACTTATCGCTTTTCGGTTGTATAAATATGCTGTAACTGCTGATATTTCAAAAATGTACAGGCAAAAAGTAACTTAGTTTTGATAGCACTGACTCTGTCAAAACACTTGGTGTTGATGAACGCCTGCAACAAATCGTATATTTTCATTCTTTCTATCCAACACAATGTTTATACACATTTGATTTATATTTCTACTCATTATCCATGTTCATGTATACTAATTAGTGTGTACACCCTTTAAAACATTTGTGACCACTGCGACGGCATTTCTTATAATTGTGAAATTATCATTTAGTATTAAAGTTTCAACAGTTCAGTACACACGTGTTTTATTACTACAGTCCACTACTCGTCTGGGAGTTTGTTCCAAAACACTTGGAAACGCAATATTTTGCCCGTGACGTCACGGTTATTCGAACCGCAGAGTTTACTGTGCCCTATTATTACGACGGCAAACATTTCCAACGGATATGAATCCCGCCGATTTAGTGTCTCGCGGCGCTAACATCTTATCTTTTTGTTGGAAGTTGAAGTTGTTGAAGTTGGCCACGACTACATAAAATTGAAATATCTTCAGAAATCATCTGGAGACACATAGTTGGCGGCAGTGCACACAGTTGTTGCACCAGAGCGGAAAGTATTATACTCTTTAATTGACCGTAAATCATCGTACACCAAACTCATTAGAATCATGGCGTACGTACTTCAATTTCGATTTAAACAAAATGGCAATAGTACGCTTGTACTATCAGCAAATGAACTGAAACTGGCATTTTTGAAATTTGTTGAATTTGTCCAAGCCGAAGCCGATGAGGCCAGCCGAGGCGCTGGTCAGGTCGTTTCCTGGAAGGGCAAGCTCTAACCACGCTGCCGCAAGAATCTCCTTCAGGAGGTCACAAGAGTAGCGCCAACTTCGTATATTTGAAGAGGTTGCGACTGCTGTCAGAGCTCAAGCAGCGGTTCTGGCAAGCTTGCTCGAGGGACTACCTGCACAGTCTGCAGCAGCGAACACAATGGCAACATGGATCCCCCAGCTAAGAAGTGGGTTCCATCGTAGTGGTACACAACGGGGCGCGTGATTCGCGTATTCACTGGAGGTGACGAGAAGGTGCGCGTGGTCGAGATTCGAACTCCCACCACGGTCACCAAGCGCACAATCCATAAGATTGCTCTACTACCAGTATATTAAAGCTCTGGAGCGCTTTAAAGAAGCCGAAATAAAGAATAAAATGCCAATGCCTTTAAATTGTCATTTACGTTTATTCGTTGCGGTCGTGCTAATACTAATGCGCGAAAAGGCGAATACACGCCTGTATTAGTGAATATTTTAAGTTTGGATGTTACATTTAAATATAAGAAGGTTGTGCTGCAAAGCGTTCCTCAACAATATCAATTAAAGACGCAAACAAGTTGTCGATATCTGCGTGTTCTTTATACCTACAACTTCGAGTCCACTTTGTTATAAGTGCCGCTTGCGACAATTCTACTAGATCATGTTCTAATAGCAACAATAACCAACTTCTGCTCCTAGCCCATGAGCTAGTAGTAACAGCAATTAACTTTAAAATTATTATCCATAAACGTATATAGAATTAATTAACACGTATCAAAGAAATCTCTGGAGTTTGCGCCTACAAACAAAAAACCCTCGAAGCTACAGAATTTCGAAAGATTTCATTTTTTCTAACTTCCCCTTCAAGCCAGCTGTCAGCAACAGGTGACTGTCGACGCTCACATTTGACTGACTAATTCTGTATAAATCCTGTAAAGCACTTAACTGAGAGCAACAGCAGGCTGTCGACATTTACATTTGGCGGACTCATGTTGTTTAAATTCTGTAACGCACTAAGTTCAACAAAAAACAAATATATCTTTTGCATTAATATTTTCCCCCTGCAAAAAAATAGCATTTGAAATTGAATTCAGTGGTTTAAAAATGTACTTCCATATTGCTTCGCTGGTCCGTATTGTATATTTAAATGGCAGTTTATTACCATTCACATTTTCGCAAACAAACAGACCTGCCCAATCGGCGACACACAATTTTCGCCAAGTTGGTTTAATTAATCCACAGTTATGTGGTACTTATTTGAAACAAGAATTGCATCAAATATATATTTTATTTTTAACCTTCGTTTGACTTAGAACTTTAGACTTAACTCAGCAAAATGTGATGTTCGAAAAATGTAGTGTTCTATTTGAGCCAAGGGGCAGTTCTATTGTGCGGTTGTTTAGATGCTGTGTGTTAGTATTTGACGTACACATATAGTAAGCAAATTACTAACACTAGAACACTACATTTTTCGAACATCAAATTTAATAATATTTACGTAGAATATGCAAAATATTTGTGATGCAAATTGTTCAGAAAAACTATAAAGTTTATATTCCAATGATTTTTTTTATGAGGAAAAATGTCTTTGTTTTTGTTTTTTAATCAAAACTCCTGGCAAAACAAACGAGATTTGATACCTCTTATCTGTGGCACCGAGAATTGGTTTTGAGGCGAAACGGAAGGTTTTTCTGTGGCACCCCTGAATTTATTTTACTTATGTGATAATCAGAGAAAAAAATCGAAAAAGATATATTCTGCCAACATATGTTTTTAGCCCGTTGCGATCACCTGAAAAGAGAAAACTTAGCGACAGATATGTATTCAATTCAATTGTCATTAAATATTTTAGACCGTAAATATCCAATTTATCCAATTCCACATCTTCCAATAATATATATTCATATTCCTTTAATTTGTATTCATTTAAAGATTGCGATATTTGACTTTTTAATTTATATTAGTCTAACAGCATATAGACAGTTTGTAATTTTGTTGAAGGTTTTTGTATAACCGCTTCTGAATGCACGTTTTTCATGAATTTCGATTACTAAGGTGTAGTCGAGAAATTGGTAATTATCTTTTCTGAAATTCTTCGTTCCACATGTACAATTATATTTTTATATTATAACTTGGCCACACTAAAAATGTCGGTTGTGCGGATCGGCATCTTGTTTTTTGCAAAGACCCGTGAATTAGCAGGTATTTCACGTGGAACTTTTACAGTCAATTCGGTTGTTATTGGATCTGACCTTCTGAATCAACTGAGCCAGTTCTTCGGTTTAAATTCTGTGAGAGACAGTTTAATGTTAGCACTTAACGAGCGCTACATAAATCTTAACGAAGAGCTGTCATTGTGTGAGGGCGACGAAATTGCTATAATCCCACCAATTAGTGGAGGCTAATGATATCATATCCATGGATTATTTAAAGTTATTAAACAATGAAAAAATCAACATCTTAGACATACAGAGTCTTTTATCTAATGAAAGTTGCGGCGCTTCCGCTATCTTTGTGGGTACAACGCGTGACACGTTTGAAGATAAGAAGGTAAGAAGTGCATATGTATGTACATAAGTAAATTTGTATGTATGTACCTGGACAAAATAATACATAAGGATGTGATTATACTTTTTCTAAACAAAACTTGGCTTTCATATGTATGTATGTACAAATTAAGCAAGTTCGCTGTTAAGCGAATTGATGGGGTGCACGGTGTAACACTATTTCGGAAGTTTTACACTGATTCGCTGTTGAGCGAATTTATAAGATGCGCGGTGTCGCACAAATGAGTAGACTTTTTAACTAATGGTTTCACGTGGCGATGACCGACGCGGTTTATTTCCAAAAATCAACTAACTCTATGTACAGAAAAGTTCTTAAAATGAAAGCTAGCCCTGTGACCCATATTTGCTGGTATTGCACTTCAAGTGCAAGTGGAGGGTGGAGGTTCGAAAAACCGAGTATGCAGTTTTGTTTGTATTCTTTTATAGATTATAAAAACCAAATTTAAAGTTGATCGATTCAGAAATGCAGAATTTTCAAACCAACTTTGGACCTCGACTTCCCCCCTTTGGAGCTCGAATTTTCCAAAAACCCTTCTTAGTGAGCATCTACATTATGACAGGATACTTGAGCCTAAATTTCAGTTTCCTTACTTTTACCGTTTGGGCTGTGGGGTGTTGATTGTGTTTCAATTTTTCCACGGAAACCCCCCCCCCCCCTCCCCTTTTTCATGCCCCAGGAAAAATGGTGAAAAACCAAGTATACAGTTTTTCTTGTATTCTTTTTGAGAGTATAGAAACTAAGTTTGAAGTTAATTGGATGAAAATTGTAGATTTTTCATACAAACGTTGGAGCCCGTTTTCCCCCCTTGGCGTTCGAATTTTCCAATTCGAGTGCTCACTTTCACTATAAAAGGGATCTTGTGTCCAAATTTCAGCTTCCTACCTCTTACCGTTTGGGCTGTGCGTTGATTGCCAATCAGTCAGTCAGTCAGGACAAACTGTTTTATATATATAGAGATATTATAATATTAATATACGTCCAGATTTTTAAATAATAATTAAATGTTACTCGCGGGACTGTATGTATGTATGTCGTTAAATTTTACGGTATTTAATTCTAGAAACTACTAGCCCTCAATGTCACAATCTATATATTTATGCATTTCATCTAGATACATGTTTATGTATGTATGTATGTATGTGTATGTATATATGTATATAAAATAGTTTGTATAATATATCGGATTTTTCAACACATTTTTTGCATTAGGGCATTATTGGTGCACGAAAAAAATTGTATGTATTTATGTACATATGTATGTAGGTATGTATGTATGTGCATCAACGCACAGCCCAAATGGTAAGCGTTAAAAAGCTGTCAAGAAGTGGTTTTAGAACATTAGAAATCCGATTAACTTTAAACTTGGTTTATGTATTTACTTTGAGAAAGAATACAAGATAAACTGCGTTGTATTTTTGTAACTTTTCATTAAAGAGTAGAAAAAATAATTATGGTATATACATACATATTTGCGTATGCTCATTTAAATATTGTGCAGTTGCATAAGTTGACTAAATAACTTTGCCAAATTGTATAGCTTTTAATTCTAGAAATGACTTGCCTTGATTTATCCCTATCATACTATATACATAAATATACATATGTATGTACATCTGTATTCACATATAACCATACATAGTAGTTTTTGTACTTTATGTCCTAGCTCTCGAATCGTACCCACATCCATCTGGAGCATCTAAATTAAACTTTTGTTCATAAGAAAAAACAAATTTGTATAGCCTGTACCCAAAGGGTGAAGGGCTGTACTAGTTTTGTGCGAATGTATGTAACAGGCAAAAGGAGGCGTACCAGACCCCACAAAGTATATACATATATTCTTGATCAGGGTGACAAACCGAGTCGATATAGCCGTCTGTCCGTCTGTGTGAGCGCAAGGATCTCAGAAGGTACAAGAACTGGAATGACCAAACTTGGTATTCAGGTTCCCCTGAGGCCTAGGCAGGTCAAGTTTCATAATTTTCTTGTAAACTATGTGATCTGAAGATGCCAAAATATTTTGAACGCGTCGTTTTTTAATAGGCGCTGCCAAGGAGTCAACAATTTGAGCAGGACTTAGTTTTTGCTTTGTTGCCAAGGAGCGAATAAGACCTTTTTGACGTGCCGAAACTTTAATATTGCCTTTAGTTGCGGGCTTTTTGCCATAATTTTCATTCAATTTCAAAAAATTTCGAATTACTTTCTCTGATCGATTGATTTTTGTTACAATTTGACAATTATTAAGGCCACTATCCTTATACGCAGGAATTGACGCCTTTTCAACCTCAGTCAAATATTTTCCTTTAGGCATGACTCGAAAAAAAGCAATATATATATATTTATATTCTGTGCATGAAATGTACAAGAGTCTGCTGGGTTTGCGCGAGATGTAAAATGTAGCAGGCAGAAGGAGGCGTGCAGACCCCACAAAGTATACAAGGTGCGTTCCAAAGTAAATAGGACTTTTTGAATCTAGTGCGTTAGAATCTGCTATCTTTATCGATTATCCAGTGAGAATTTCATGACATTTCATCCATTGGATTGCGTTTTAAGTGTCAGTATGTTTGTGTTATCGGTGCGAAAATGAGCTTCGAACAAAGAGCCAACATTAAATTTTGTTTTAAAATTGGTAAAAATTTTACCGAAACGTCTCAATTGATGGAACAAGTTTATGCCGATGATTGCCTATCCCGTAGCAGAGTGCACGAGTGGTTTCAACATTTTCTAAGTGGTTGTGAGGACATAAATGACGATCAAAATGTGGGCCAATCAAAATTCGTGATCACCGAAAATTCCATCGAAACTGTGCGTGAATTCATCAAAAATCAGCCGAAATCATCATTGAAATTGATGGAAATGGAATTGAACATCTCCAAAACATCGCATTGGGCTTACGAAACGTGCGTGCACGGATTGTTCCGCACAAATTGACTGACGACCAAAAATTGCTCAAACGATCGACGCTTGTGACCGATTATTTGATAAAAATCACAATTTAACCATTAACCACTCGCCGTATTCACCTGATATGGCACCGTGCGACTTCTACCTTTTCGGAAAAATGCATTTGCCCATGGAAAGCGTTATGCAGACGTAGAGGCCATTCAACAGGCTTGCACCGCTTTTGGATCGTGCAAAAAGCTGTATTGAAGCAGAAGGGAGACTATTTTGAATAAAATAAATTTATTTTTGTTTGTTCTGTTTTTTTTTTTTTTTTTTAATTCCTGTTTACTTTGGAACACACCTTGTATATACTCTTAATCTCCATGACAAGACGAGTCGATCTATGTTTGTCTGTCTGTCTGTCCGTATGAACACCTGGATCTCAGAGAATATAATAGCTACAGACTCCAAATTTATGTGTGTACGCTGTGCAAGTTTGTTTTATTTTTTTATTCCCCCCTTCTCCCACTTCCCCCCTATGGGGGTTTTCTCGATGTTCCATTCGTATAATCGCCTATATCTCGGAGACTATAAGACCTAGGAACACCAAATTTTAGTTGAAGATGTCTTTTGTGAATACGCAGAAAATGTATTTTGGAATTTCCCTCCCTCCCCCCTCTCCCCTTCAAATCGTAACTCCTTCTTAGAATTTCGAACTCAAATTTGGCAAATACCCCCAGTTAGTCATTATGTGTCCGTATGCCAACTTTCACTATGATAGACCGACTTAACAAGAAGTTATAGCCATAAATATATTTGCTGCCCAACCGCTGCCCGCAGTTGTTGATGCTGATGCTTTGGTTGACTGCAAACATTCTTACACAGACACGAATAGACGCGCATAAACATACATACACTCACATAGACGCAATTGCTGTGTAAATGTGCAATTATGCACCCTTTACGTGAGTTCGAATACCGAGAGAGGTAAAATCAATCATTTTTTTTTTTTAATTTTCTTAATTTCTATAATTTCTGTAAACATATGTACAGAGTATTTCAAAGTCGGGACACCCAACTTTAGATTTTTTACTTGTTTTTTAATTATATAAAAGCCAAAAAGCTTCGAAATACCCCTATTCAATTAACAAATCCAATACTTACTGTTAATTGCAGGCACAATTTTATTTACCACTCTTTTTTATACCCTGTACCCAAAGGGTAAAAGGCTATACTAGTTTTGTGCGAATGTATGTAACACACAGAAGGAGGCGTGGCAGACCCCACAAAGTATATATATTATTGATCAGGATGACAAGACAAGTCGATATAGCCATGTCCGTCTGTCCCTTCGTCCGTCTGTTTGTATGAGCGCAAGTATCTCCGGAAGTACAAGAGCTAGAATAACCAAACTTGGTATCGAGGTTCCCCTAGATCCTAGGCAGGTCAAGTTTATTTTTTATTCTGATACACCCCCCCCACTCCCCCGCAATTTTGGTAGTTACATCCAGTTAGTGCTTATGTGTCCGTGTGCCAATTTTCATCATGATAGGTCCCATGCCCATGCGTTGTCTGCAGCTCTGCTCGCAGCGCTGCCCGCAGCTGTTGTTGTTGTTGCTGCTTTGGTTCAACTTTGTGCTGCATACATACACGCATAGATACGTGGTGTAAATGTATGCTGTTAAAACTGAACATGAACATTTCTTCTATGTATGTATTAAATAAAATTTCTTTATTAATTTAATTAATTAATTAATTTTTTTAAAATTATATATATATATTTTTTTTTTTATATATTTTCCGTTTTTTGTGGAGAGTACAGGCTATTTTACTGTCGGACTTGCTCGACTGTAGCGTTCTCTCTTGTTTCTTATTCGGCTAAACGAACTGCGCATCAAAATCATTTTTAATGCATGTATTCAAATAAATGATAACATAAATTCTACTTGTTATAACGTAAAGCATATGTTTTAAAAGAACTGTTATGTTGTACAAAAAACATTGAAAATAAATGAATAACATTCGGTTAAACGAACTGCGCGCACTGTATGTATGTATAATTAACGCACAGCCCAAATGTTAAGAAGATGAAATTTGGACACAAGTTTCCTGTCAAAGTGTGGTTTTAGAAATCCGATTAACTTTAAACGTGGTTTATTTACTCTGAGAAAGAATACAAGATAAACTGCGTTGTATTTTTGTACTTTTCATTATAAAGTAAAAGAAATAATAATGATAATGATTGCTCCTGATATACATACATATGTACTTACATATATATGTGTGTATGCTCATTTAAATATTGTGCAGTTGCATAACTTGACCAAATGACTTTGCCAAATTTTGCTTTTAATTCTCGAAATTACTTGCCTATGCATAAATATACATATGTGTGTATGTGTGTACATGGTATATAGTATTTGTTATTGTACATACTTTATGTCCTAGCTTTCGAATCGTACCAAAGTAATTTCGTATTCGGGAAATGAACTCTTTAGAAACTTTAGAGAGTGTCGGAAGAGAAATATCATATAGTAAATAAACTTATAATTGAAAGTACAAATACTGAAAAAAAAACGCCTAGTATAAATATACATATGTCTCCACTAATATATACGTATTGAATATCTTTTATTATATTGAATTAATTAATTTAATTTTTATACCAGGTACACGAAGGTTAAAAGGGTATACTAGTTTAGTATGAATGTATGTAACACACAGAAAGAAGCGTGGCAGACCCCTAAAAGTATATATACGGCATAAGTATTTTGACAAAATGTAACGCTTTGTTTTGCGTTTTACTTTGGCGAATTGTAACATGTAACGGTTCTTTTATCTTTTCCAAAGCACATTACATGTGAGCATAAAGTGTGTAAAGTATTTTTTTCAATTCCTTTATGCGTTTCTTTGAGTTTCGCTTTGTTCTCTTTCGCGAGCTGATAAGAGCTGGACAAAAGTATTTTTTCATTCTCTCTATTTAGTCTGTATCGATCTGTTATTGAGCTAAAGCTGAGCTTTGCGGCTGTTAATCGTGAAAAACTAATTGCAACTGCTGATAAAAATAGTTTTGATTACTTAAATTGTTTAAAAATGGGTAAAATAAAAGAACTAAGTCAATTTGTTAAAAATGATATGGTGGCGAAGTATAACGCTGGTATTTCCGTAGATAATATCAGTAAATTATATAATACATCTCGCCAAACCGTATATTATCAAATAAATAAGTATAATAAAAGCCATACCACAAAAAACGTGGCACGTTGTGGCAGACCGCGTAACACAACAGAAAAGAACGCCAATTTAAGAATAATCCGTTAGAAACACCTAAGACTGTTGCAATGCAACTAACTAACTACACAAAAATTAATATTAGCGAAAGACAGTACGCAGACGTCTTAAAGAAGCTGATTATGGTACCTATGTTGCTAGAGTTATTCCTCAAATTTCTATGAGAAATAAGATCAAGCGCCTTGAATTTGCCAAAAAATATATTGACAAGTCTCCGTCATTTTGGCATAATGTTTTGTGGAGTGACGAAAGCTCTTTTGATTACCACTGTTCGAAGAAAAAAGTTTTTGTAAGGATTCCAACAACAACACATAAAACAAGTAAAAAAGCTAAAGTCGGGTGTCCCGACTTTGAAATACTCTGTACATATGTTTACAATAATTATAGAAAATAAAAAAAAAAACAAAAAAAAGAAAAAAAAAATTGGATCGATTTTACCTCTCTCGGTATTCGAACTCACGTAAAGGGTGTATAATTGCACATTTACATAGCAATTGCGTCTGCGTGAGTGTATATATGCCTATGCGCATCAATTCGTGTCTGTGTAAGCATTTTCGCAGTCAACCAAACAGCAACATCAACAACAGCCGCGGGCAGCGCTTGAGCAGCGCTGCAGCAGCAAATATATTTATGACTATAACTTCTTGGTAAATCGGTCTATCATAGTGAAACTTGGCATACGGACACATAATTACTAATTACTGGGGGTATTTGCAAAATTTTAGTTCGAAATTCCAACAATTACGGGAGTTAGAAAAAATCACATTTGCGGGGGAGAGGGAAGAGGGAGAGAAATTCCAAAATACATTTTCTGCGTATTCACACAAGGGATCTTGGACTAAAATTTAGTGTTCCTAGGTCTTATAGTCTCCGAGATATAGGCGATTATACGAATGGAAAATCGGGAATACCCCCATAGGGGGGAAGTGGGGGGGAAAATCAAAAAAATAAAACAAACTCGTATAGAATACACACATAACGCATCTTTGTGCAAAATTTGGTGTCTCTATCTCTTATAGTCTCTGAGATCCAGGTGTTCATACGGACGGACAGACAGACAGACAGGGCTAGATCGACTCGTCTTGTCACGCTGATCAATAATATATATACTTTGTGGGGTCTGCCACGCCTCCTTCTGCCTGTTACATTTTTCAGCTCCCGCAAACCTAATATACTCTTGTACATTTCATGTACAGAGTATAAAAAGAGTACCCGTTTGTGAAAGAGTAAGCCATGGAGGTGGGTCAGTAATGTTTTGGGGATGTGTCGCTTATAATGGGGTGGGCGACTTGGTTCCCATCAATGGAACCATGGATAAGGGCAAATACTTAAATGTTTTAAATGGTCACGCATTTCCTTCTGGGGACAAATTGATCGGAGAGTCCTTTATTTTTCAGCAGGATAACGCGCCGTGCCATAAAGCAAAATTAATAACAAATTTTTTGAATGAAGTTCAGTTTAGCACGCTGGATTGGCCACCCCAAAGTCCAGATTTAAATGTAATTGAAAATCTATGGGCTTTTATTAAGCAAAAACGATGTGCGAATTTAACAAGGACGCGCGAGGATACAATTTCTGAGGTAGGAGCACTCTGGAAGGATATTCCGTTGGACTATGTCCAAACTTTGGTCAATTCGGTTCCCAGACGGCTGCAAAAAGTTATAACTGCCAAGGGAGGATATATTTTCTATTAATAATAAATAATAAATTTTTTAACCATTTACTTTTGTTAATTAATTCTAATTAAAAAATATGTCAAATTACTTATGCCACCTTACATTTCTGAAATATGATTTTTGTTTTTGCTATTTATACCTTTATATAAACTCTTACAAATAATTTGACAGTTAATAAACATATCTTTACACCATATTAATTTCAATATTTTTCCTTGTCCATTTAAAAAGTTATAGACAAAATCGTATGGTAGCTTTCTTATGCCGTCGGCTGTACATATATTATTGATCACTATTGCAAGATGATTTTTTTTTGTGGGGAGTACAGGCTATTTTACTGTCGGGCTTGCTCGACTGTAGCGTTCTCTCTTGTTTTTTTTTTTCCTTTGTGAGGGAATAGGTTCAGGCAAGGGCAAGATCAATAAAAACAAATCAGACTCAGTTCCCTTATTAGGCGAAATAGTTCGCCATAATAATGCATGTGTGGTCGCAAAATTATGCGCCCTTGAGTTCAGGGTATTTATATTTTATGTTTTCTGATTTATAATTTATGAGTAAATAAATTTTCCTTAAAATTTTGTAGGTTATACTTTTAGAATATGAGGCATATGACAGCATGGCTCTGAACGAAATGGCTAACATATGCTCCGAAATACGTCTACGCTGGCCTAGCTTAAAAAATATTGTGATATATCATAGACTTGGTGCAGTCCCAATTTGTGAAGCAAGCGTTGTTATTGCCTGTTCGGCTCCACACCGTCAAGAAGCTTTAGACTCTGTTGGCTACGCAGTTAACCAATTAAAGTCTCGTGTTCCCATCTGGAAAAAGGAAATATACGAGAATGAACCCATCGGAACATGGAAGATAAATAAAGAATGCCCCTGGCCTAGTAAGGAATTAAAATAAAAGTCCAAAAATTTATGCATGCAAACTAAATTTTTTTAAAAAAAAAGCACGTATATATTCATTTACCTTATTTACTTACTATTTATAATTGATGTATACTTTTAAAATAAAGTTTTATGAGCGTTTTTTTTTTTTAATACAATAGCAAATAAGCATCGTCCTGCAAGCTGGTATAATTTTAATTATTGCAAATTCACAAATAATTTAAAAACCAATTCTGAAAAAATTGTTCAAATCGGAGTAACTGATTCCGAGTTTAAAAAACGTGTGGAGTCTTTCGTTAAAAGAAAGCGAGTAGAAATCAATACAAACAATATAATGGACTTCAAGGAATTGCATAATAATTTAATGGATAAAGGTGTTAGCTACGCATTGGACGCTTCTTGTGCGCGTGCACAAACTGTGCTGTTAAAACAACAAAATTCCAAATGCCTCTTGAAAGGTAAGAAATTAATTATGTGCGAATAAAATTTAATTTTTATCTTTAATTTCAGTACACCGAGTCAAAAACCGTATTGGCCCACAGCTGCAGATGAACTATTTGCTTGAAATGCACAAGTTGATAAAAAAACAGGATCAGATATCCGATCATACCAAAAACCAAATCAATTTAAAATCTCGTTTACAAATTATTGAGTCGTACATGGGACTGATCGCATCTGATAGAGATAACCTTTTGCTTCGACTCAAGAATATAGAAAATCAAATTTTATTTTATGAGTCATCATCTCCGGAGTATAAACATTTTTGTGTTAGTATATGTAGTTTTGAGATTGTTTATTTGTTTTTACATATGTTTTTATTATAGAACAATTTTCTTGACCACAAATCACGTTTGATTGCAAACTCTACAAAGAAAACCTGTCAGGCAACTGAATTAGGCGAATTCATACAGGCCATAAAGCTGAGTCTTTCTACTGGTTCTTCTGCAGCCACCAAAAGCCAATCTTCTGAATAAAGTTTGAAATTCAAACAAGTAAAAAAGCTAAAGTCGGGTGTCCCGACTTTGAAATACTCTGTACATATGTTTACAATAATTATAGAAAATAAAAAAAATTAAGAAAAAACAAAAAAAATTGGATCGATTTTACCTCTCTCGGTATTCGAACTCACGTAAAGGGTGTATAATTGCACATTTACATAGCAATTGCGTCTGTGTGAGTGTATGTATGCCTATTCGCATCTATTCGTGTCTGTGTAAACATGTGTGCAGACAACCAAAGCACCAGCATCAACAGCCGCGGGCAGAGCTGCAGCAGTAAATATATTTATGGCTATAACTTCTTGTTAAATCGGTCTATCATAGTGAACTTGGCATACGGACACATAATAACTAAGTGGGGGTATTTCCAAAATCTTAGTTCCAAATTCCAAGAATTACGGGAGTTAGAGAAAATCGCATTTGCGTGGGAGAAGGGGGAGGGAGGGAAATTCCAAAATATACATTTTCTGCGTATTCACATAAGGCATCTGGGACTAAAATTTGGTGTTCCTAGGTTTTATAGTCTCCGAGATATAGGCGATTATACGAATGGAAAATCGGGAAAACCCCCATAGGGGGGAAGTGGGGGGGAAAATCAAAAAAATAAAACAAACTCGTATAGAATACACACATAACGCATCTTTGTGCAAAATTTGGTGTCTCTATCTCTCTATCTCTTAATCGATAAGAATGTTAAAAATGGAATAATTTTTGTAGAGTTGATTAATCCTGTATAAAGTCAAGTGCATACCTAAATTAACACATTATTACTCATCGAAAACGACAATAAAAGTTAATTTTATTCAGCTTTACGATTAATCGATGTAATTTTTGTGAAAATCACAACAAAAAAAATGAAAACGATCGATGCAGTCAGCATCGATTATTTTGCAGGTCGAGGGACCAGCCAAGTTTTTACAGGTAATTGAACGAAAAAAACACAAAAAGTACCAAAACGTTTATAGCTAACAGCTGGTTCGTTTGCCTGCACTTTTATCACTTTCGTGCATATTTTTTTTTGAGCAATAAAATAAAGTGGATTCGGAGACTAAGCATAAGATATAGACACCGAATGTTGTCCACTGTTGCCTTATGTGTGTACGCTATACGAGTTTGTTTTATTTTATTTGATACACCCCCCACTTCCCCCTATGGGCGATTTTCGGGAACGACATTTATATAATTATCTATATCTTGGATACTAAAAGAACTATACAAATTATATTTCAAGATGCCTTATATGAATACGCAGAAATCCTTCCCTCCCGCCTCTCTAACGCAATTTATGATTTTCCGAAACTTTCGTATCCTGGAATTTTTGGCTCAAATTTGGCAAGTAGTGAGATAATTATAGCCTGTACCCAAAGGGTGAAAGGCTATACTTGTTTTGTGCGCATGTATGTAACACACAGAAGGAGGCGTGGCAGACCCGACAAAGTATATATATTCTTGATCAGGGTGACAAGCCGAGTCGATATAGCCATGTCCGTCCGTGCGTCTGTATGAGCGCAAGGATCTCAGAAGGTACTAGAGCTAGAATAACCAAACTCGGTATCCAGATTCCCATAAGCCCTAGGCAGGTCAAATTTATTTTTTTTATTCTGATACACCCCCCCCACTCCCCCGCAATTCGTGTTTTTGTTTATAAATTCCGTAATTCTTGGAATTTTGAAATTAATTTTGGTAGGTACATCCAGATAGTACTAATGTGTCCGTGTGCCGTGTGTTTCATCATGATAGGTCAATTGTGAAGAAAGTTATAGCCATAAATAAAATCGCTACTCATGCGCTGCCTGCAGCTCTGCCGGCAGCACTGCCCGCAGCTGTTGTTGTTGCTGCTTTGGTTCAACTTTGTGCCGCATACTTACACGCATATAAACACGCATAGGTACGTGATGTAAATGTACGCTGTTAAAACTGAACAAAAACACGTCTTCTAATTTACTTTAATTACTTAATTAATTAATTCATTTTTTTTAATAATTTAATTTTTTTATTTTTCCTTTTTTGTGGAGAGTACAGGCTATTTTACTGTCGGGCTTGCTCGACTGTAGCGTTCTCTCTTGTTTTAATTTTCCTTTTTTGTGGAGAGTACAGGCTATTTTACGGTCGGGCTTGCTCGACTGTAGCGTTCTCTCTTGTTTTATTTGTTTCGTTTACAGTGAGCTAAGAAACTGAAATTGGCCAAAAAATGGAAATTTCACGAGAAAAAAATTTTGAGCTCGAAGCATCGACCGAATGGGTCATATAGCCACTGCCGGATGTGTTCAGAGAAATTCCCATAACCAGCCGCCAAAAACGAATAATTCTGCATCATGACAATATGACAATATGAGCTCTCACACATCTCATCAAACATGTGTGTTGGAGGAGAATCGAGCATATTAGCATAAATATTTAGTTTTAATTTAAATTTCACATTCGCCGTTAAAAACAATGTAAACTTTCTGGCAACGTTATTAATTACTCATAAGCACAACAAAATAGCACACAATAGATAAGTCTCGTTCCAACCTCAAATTTGGAGTTCGTCCATCTCATAGCTTTTCTTACAGCTGTAGCAGAAATGAATGTACGTTTTCTATATTCCCGTGCAACGATCAATTGTAACGATCTGGACTTTTAAGTGCCAGAGCCTCGCTAACCACGCAGACTGGTTAGGGCTTCGCTGGATCACACATTTATCTGAGCTTCACTAGTCACGCGCTGATTAGAGCTCAAGCATTTACATACAAACATATGTATATACACATACAATATGCCATGCATTGGCACTGCATATAATCATTCAAAGTAAGTGAGAACATTGCAAACCTAACGGTACCCTATCGGCATCTACTCTTTATCAACCGTTGCCAATTGTCGGTAGATTTTCAAATTCGCTGCGATTCTTGCTGTTGCCCATTTAGTTAGCGCCAAAATTATTACGTAGGATTGTTAAGGTGCTCAACAGAACATCAAAGGTGAACTTATGCAACTCTAGCTTTTTGAGCTCGACAGCAGCGCCAGCTCAGCACAATCGATTGCCAAAAATGAAACTTCCTGTTTTCGAGGGTCAGTGTTCCGATTATAAACGCTTTATAAGTGCATTCAATAATCTGGGTGACCAAGATCAAGGAATTTCTGTGATTGATAAGTTCAACTACTTGCTTAACTGTTTATCTGGACCAGCATTAGAGGTCATACAGACGTTTCAAGTTACCGAAGACAACTACCCCAAAGCTCTTCAACAGCTAAAATCTCGATATGACAACGACGTCCTAATCTTTCTTGATTCCATTTCAAACCTGTTTTGTTTACCATCAATGCGAAAGTCCGATGCAATAACACTTTAAAGACTGTTGGATTCCGCTTCTGCCATTAGGGGCTCGCTTTTGTCGCTCGGCTCCGCTGAGAATATCATGAATGCAATAATAATTCATATTACCTTATCAAAGGTGGATACTCGGAAACTATCAGGAAACAAGGCAAGGTTCTAAACAAGGGTTCCAGTCGTTCATTACAACCGACTACAGGGTCTGTGACCATTGCCACACCAACGACCATTACATCTCAGCATTCACATCATTCGCTGCATTAACTCTTGACCAACGAAAGGAATGGGTTAAAAATCACCAACTTTGCTTTAATTGTTTGAGAAGAAACCACTTTCAAAACCAATGTCCGTCGAGATGCCACTGCAGAGTATGTCACATCATTCTCTACTACACAATTTTACTAAGAAGTTTACCCCACAAGCTGGCAACAATTGCGTGAATCTGAATGCGCAAATGAACTCTTCCTTTCAGGATTCACCTAACTTATCGCATGTAATGAACTCTACTGAACGTGGCATTCTACCGACCGCAATTGGAAGAGTAAAGGACAGGTTCGGAAACTATCATTTAATTCGCGCCATGTTAGACTCTTGCTCTGAAGTCAATCTCTCACAAGCCGTGAGCGGTATCTCAAATGATGTTCAGCGTAACACTATCACGTGTCAACGACGATAAGGTCCCGCACATCAGACTTCGAATGGACATCAACATTCGCAGTCATCAAATCAATCTGCTCCAGCAAACCCAGCACCGACATTGACATAAATCAGTGGCATCTTCCCCAGGAAGCTGTATTTGCTGATCCACTATTTTATGAATCAAACAAGATAAATATTCTTATAAACACTGACGGATTTTTTGACGCTATCCGAATTGGAAAAATCTCTTTAGGACTAGGGAACGCGTGCCTGTTAAATACCGAATTTGGTTGGATAGTGGGAGGAAACACAGCTGCGTCTCCACCAGCATTACCAATGTACGCTAGTACAGGAGTCTCCTACACTCGATAGGATAATGGAACGATTTTGGAAGAGCTTGACTACGAAGTTACGTGTCGTTTTTGACGGTTCAGTCAAATCATCCTCCTCATTAATGGTGGGCCCAACAATACAGCAGGATCTAGTTACAACACTGTTAAAGTTCCGGTTACATAAATTCGTTCTTACTGGTGACATTACGAAGATGTACCGACAATTCATGGTGAACCCTCGTGTCAGATATTTTCAGCTTATACTTTGGAAAAGTAACCAGATTTTGGAGTTCCACACACCAGCATCCAAGCTTACCACAGAGGAACAACTCTGCGAGGATCACTTCAGTAACAATGTATCTATTTACAACGATAGTCGTATACAAGTGCGCTTACCACTCAAAGAAGCACAAAGGAAATTCTTACGATACCGCCTACCAACGCTTTATGGCGCTCGAGCGACGATTTAACAGAAACGATGAGTTGAAGAGTGCATATGCAAGCTTCATAAATGAGTATTTAACTTAAGGGCATATGTCACTACTTCAGACTCGAGATTAAACTCAACCGCATTTCTTTATACCCCACCATTGTGTATTAAGGCCGCAAAGCTTGACTACGAAGTTACGTGTCGTTTTTGACGGTTCAGTCAAATCATCCTCCTCATTAATGGTGGGCCCAACAATACAGCAGGATCTAGTTACAACACTGTTACAGTTCCGGTTACATAAATTCGTTCTTACTGGTGACATTACGAAGATGTACCGACAATTCATGGTGAACCCTCGTGTCAGATATTTTCAGCTTATACTTTGGAAAAGTAACCAGACAGACAAAATTCAATTTACATTTACAGATGACCAAATTTAACAGCAACACAAAGCATTTCATTAATCCATCCACGAATGAAGTTCCTATTAAGGTTGAGGAAATAGATACAGCAAAGACTCTTGGCTTATCTTGGATGCCCAAGCAAGACTGCTTTGTTTATCGGTACGATCTGCAACCTAAACAAGAAAATACCAAACGAATGGTATTATCGACAATTGCAAATATGTTTGACGCTCTTGGCTTGATGAGTCCAGTCATAATAAGATGCAAAATACTCTCGCAGGATCTAAAAATTTGAAGTTGGGTTGGGAAGAACTTCTCCCTGAAACGTGAAATCAATTAAAGGCATATTCATAATCAAAGAATTCCGCGTGTAACTTATTTAATAGAAAAAAGTTTTGTTTGTTTATCGTAAAAACCTAGCGATTTTTCACATATGTTATTTACCCGTTGTTCGGAAGTCGCACTAGGCCGAAAATCCGTTGGTACGAAACACGGCCAATTTTTGTTCTGCCAAGTTAAAATCAGCCAGAAAATAAAAAGATGAAATAATAAAATGCTCAAGCTGATTTAGACGGCTTATATGTAACCAAAAATTTAATCAGACAGCCGCTTCACCTTTCTTTTGACAATGCCCCCTTTGACAGGTCAAGGTTGAAAGAAAGGACCACTGACAACCGACAAATATTGCCACTTCGGAAGAGGAAAATCCCTAATAAGTGGCCAAGAGCAGAACTGCTGGAGAAATTTAATTCCCCTCTTATTAATCGCATAAATACCAAAGGAAAAATCTGTTTTTTTGCCTAACTTATGTCTAAAAAAAATAACAATTAATCCTAGACAATCCTAGCCACTACAAAAATCAAAACAAAATACAACTAAAACAAACAGTGTGTAAATTCAAACACGACGAGCACTGCTTGTATAAGGTAGGTAGGTAGGTGCGGCAGGAACTTATGAAGACCCTGACTCACTTAGGCCGTGATTATTTGGCCCGTTGTGGTACCGCGTGGACAAAGTCCGCTTCCCATATCCCGTGGTTGGCTGCATTACTGCGCAAATTGTTACACCCATCCGGATGCCCGGATGAATTTGTAATTGTCTATCGGCTTTCTTTTTGCTAGCGCCGACTGATTTGGGAGGAGGCCATCTCCTAGAAAGCGTTGTCTGGTCCTACACAAAGCTGGGCAGTCGCAGAAGAGGTGGGAAACTGTTTCCGCTTCTTCTTAGTCTCTGTAACTTCTACAGAAGTTGTTGTGTTGAAGTCCTAGTCTGGCGGCATGGGAGCCCACCAGCCTGTGCCCCGTGATGGCTCTGATGACAGCTGAGCATTGGCTTCTGCTCAGCCTACAGAGTTCTAAAGTCCGTTTCCTATCTCGGATGGGCCACGTTTGACGTGAGATTTTGTAGTTGTTTGTGTCATTGGTCCACATTTGATTTGCAATGAAATCGAAATGGTTCCGAATGGACAGTTAACAGCTGGCCATCGGTATATCGATGCCTTGGGAGGAGGGGAACGGTGGTACCTTCTCTTGCCAGTTCGTCGGCTATGCAGTTTCCCTCTATGTCCCGATGGCCTGGGACCCAAATGAGGTAGACTGAGGACTGTGCTGCCATCTCGTGAAGAGATTTGCGACAGGTCTGCACTGACGTCGAGTTCGATGTGATGTTGTCTAAGGATTTTATGCCGCTTGGCTATCCGAATATATGCAGATTTCTCTGATTTCTGTGACTGCGCTTGGCAGTATGAAGAGAGCTTCTTGAATAGCTGTGATTTCGGCCTGGAATACACTGCAGTGATCCGGAAGCCTGAAGGCTTTTCTTATGCCGAGTTCTTCGCAGAAGACACCTCCGCCTACGCGGTTGTCCCGCTTAAAGCCGTCTGTATATATTTTTATTGAATTTTCGGGGCCTGGAGAGCCAACATTCCATTCATTCCCGATCATACCAAAAACGAAATCAATTTAAAATCTCGTTTACAAATTATTGAGTCGTACATGGGACTGATCGCATCTGATAGAGATAACCTTTTGCTTCGACTCAAGAATATAGAAAATCAAATTTTATTTTATGAGTCATCATCTCCGGAGTATAAACATTTTTGTGTTAGTATATGTAGTTTTGAGATTGTTTATTTGTTTTTACATATGTTTTTATTATAGAACAATTTTCTTGACCACAAATCACGTTTGATTGCAAACTCTACAAAGAAAACCTGTCAGGCAACTGAATTAGGCGAATTCATACAGGCCATAAAGCTAAGTCTTTCTACTTGTTCTTCTGCAGCCACCAAAAGCCAATCTGAATAAAGTTTGAAATTCAAACAAGTAAAAAAGCTAAAGTCGGGTGTCCCGACTTTGAAATACTCTGTACATATGTTTACAATAATTATAGAAAATAAAAAAAATTAAGAAAAAACAAAAAAAATTGGATCGATTTTACCTCTCTCGGTATTCGAACTCACGTAAAGGGTGTATAATTGCACATTTACATAGCAATTGCGTCTGTGTGAGTGTATGTATGCCTATTCGCATCTATTCGTGTCTGTGTAAACATGTGTGCAGTGGTTATAACTTCTTGTTAAATCGGTCTATCATAGTGAAACTTGGCATACGGACACATAATAACTAACTAGAGGTATTTCCAAAATCTTAGTTCGAAATTCCAAAAATTACGGGAGTTAGAGAAAATCGCATTTGCGTGGGAGAAGGGGGAGGGAGGGAAATTCCAAAATATACATTTTCTGCGTATTCACATAAGGCATCTGGGACTAAAATTTGGTGTTCCTAGGTTTTATAGTCTCCGAGATATAGGCGATTATACGAATGGAAAATCTGGAAAACCCCCATAGGGGGGAAGTGGGGGGGAAAATCAAAAAATAAAACAAACTCGTATAGAATACACACATAAGGCATCTTTGTGGAAAATTTGGTGTCTCTATCTCTTATAGTCTCTGAGATCCAGGTGTTCATACGGACGGACAGACAGACAGGGCTAGATCGACTCGTCTAGTCATGCTGATCAAGAATATATATACTTTTTGGGGTTTGCCACGCCTCCTTCTGCCTGTTACATTTTTCAGCTCCCGCAAACCTAATATACTTCTTGTTACGACTACGCTTTTCCTCTTGGGCAACGCCGGCTGGCTCATCGGAATTCTCCTTGGGTGGGTGGTTCCAACCCTATGCCCGCGTGAGTCGTACAATAACCGATAACACGGTTCCTCCATCGATAAACAAAATGCCATCACTACAATAAATTCGACGCGCAATATACAAAACCGAATTCAAAACGTAAACAAACCAAAAAAACTAACATAAACTAAAAGAAACGTAATGCAACAAAAAACAACTGTTGCTCCTGCTACGATGCAGCTCGTGCTGCTACTTATGACGGCCGCTGCAGCTGCTGTGTACGGTTCCACCGCTGTCCAAAAACTTGGCGATATGCCGGAAAAATCTATATGCCAAGGAACAAAAGGCATTTAAGCACTGGTCGGCACATTCAAGTGGATATATAGGTATGCATACATCGGCATTAGTTCTGCCTTGCATCTATATCTTTATTGCTCACCTTCGAACGGCTTCTGGTTCTTCCTTTCCTTTTCAAAACGTTTTTTCCTCCCTTCTATTTGCAGGTTTCAGCACCGCCTCCAGTTCACAAAAAAAAAAACACAGCCTCGTGGGTCTGCACGGTCGCCCCAAAAATAGGAATGGCGTGTTGCGGCTTGCCTTTTATAGGCCGGATGTCGTATGTCTGCGGATTTTTATGTCCTTGCGCATCCGTTCATCACGGCCTTGACGTTTCCCCACTTTGAGGTGCCATCGGGACACAACCCTGCGCCTGCGCGGCTGCAGTTGCCACCATGGTGCCTCGCTCGGTACCGAAAGATGGCGCTGCAGTGCCTTTATAAATTTTCGGCGTCTTCCGTAGCGCTGCCACCTTTTATTCTTCGTGACCAGCCCGATGCAACACCACCGCAAATATCCAAGTGGGCGGACGCTCATGCCCCGAAGTGATGTTTGCGCGCATCAAACGGCTGGTGTTGTTGGTGTCCTCTGCTTCGAGTCCGGCGTTGCCTCGGATGACTACTACCGCGGCGCCCAACGTAGGCCACACCCACTCTTGATCTTCAGGTGAGTGGCTCTCTATATTCATCCATTCTGCTTTATGACAGGCGTCACACTCGGATATCCTTTGCGTGGAATACCCCCAGCAAGTTTCATTGCAAATCTTCCAGCTCGTATGCGTTGGTGCCGATGGATTTCCTTACGCGAGCTTTTAGAAATTTCCGCGCGAATTTCGCATTGAACGCGCGGCTGAAATCACTCAATGCAAAGTTTCGCCGGTATACCTCCTGACCGGGCGCTAGTCTTAGCCGCCGCGCACGCCGGTTATAGCGAACGCTACTGCGCTCATACGCCGCGTGTAATTGTGTCTGGACTTTCTGTTGCACCAGGGATTGCCTGTCTGCTGTACTCAACGCTGCGAATTCGTGCTCGTCTAACGACCTTAATTTCCTCGCAACATCATATGTCGGCCGAATAGTGCGAAAAAAGGCGTTACTCCAGTCGCAGAATGCACGCTATTTCTGATGGCCACTTCAATTTCCGGAAGGTGTAGGTCCCACTCGCGCTGATCCTGCTCCAGATACGCCCGTATCGCGGACAGTATCGTCCGGTTCACCCTTTCGGACGCGTTGCTTTGCGGCGAATACACCGGTGTCCGCAGATGCTTAACACCGTAGCCCTCCATCATGTCTGCAAACTGCTTGGACGTGAATTGCTTACCATTATCGGAGTGTATGACTTCTGGAACGCCGAACGTAGGGAACACTTCGTTCACCAAGAAGTCGACGACGCTCCGAGTGGTGGCCTCCCGCATCGCCTTCAGGATCGTGAATTTGGTGAAGTGATCTACCACTATGAATATGAAGGCGTGCCCCTTCCTTGATCGCGGATACTTGCCCAAGAAGTCTATGTACAACTTCTGGAACGGCCTCTCCGTGACGACTTCTGCACCAATTCCCACCTGCATCCCGTAATTGGTGGCTTTCGTCTCTTTGTAGACCACGCATTTTCGGACCACTTCAGCAACGTCTTTGGCCATTCCCGGCCAATAAAACTGCCGCCGCAACCAGGACAACGTCTTCAACACTCCTCCATGCGTTGACGCTTCGGTATGGGCTTCGATATAAGCATGCCGGTTAGCGCACGCGGAACCCACAGTTTCCACACACTGCCTTCGAGCTGATCTTCTAGCCGATTGAAGGATGTCTTTTTGTAGATCACCCCGTTTTCAATTTTTAAATCAGGTAATTTATCTTTTTGACTTTGAATTTCGCTAATCAGCTCTCGATACTCCTCTGATTCGAATTCTGCGGTTTCTATACCCAACAGGTCTCCTGGAAAGAAATCCAACTCCTCTAAAGTTTCGGCTTCGGTGCTCCTGGACAGCATATCCGCCACGATGTTGTCAGAGCCCTTCCGGTGCGTGATTTCAAAGTCGAAGCCTTGGAGCAGCAACGACCAACGTGCCAATCGCCCGGACAAATCCTTCATGGACATCAGCCATTTCAAACTGGCGTGATCGGCTATGACCGTGAATGGCATCATTTCGATGTATGGCCGGAATTTTTGTATCGCCAATACCGCCGCCAAGCACTCCTTCTCGGTCACCGAGTAGTTTACCTGGTGCTTATTCATCTTAGCCGAGCAGAACGCAATGAGCCTCTCGTTTCCCTTTAAGTCCATTTGGAACAATACCGCTCCGACGCCAATATGGGATGCGTCACACTGCACGAAGAATGGGCGTGAAAAATTAGCGTGTACCAGCACTGGCGCAGATGTGAGCGCCTTCTTCAACGCATCGAATGCTGCAACGGCTTCGTCACCGAGTGAGAAAAGGCCTCCAGAACGCTTTTTTAGTGCCTCAGTAAGCGGAGCTGCTAAGGTGGCAAAATCTCTAATAAATCGCCTGTACCACCCGGCGGTTCCTAAGAAAGCTCGAACCTCCTTTACGGACCTTGGCACCTGTATGCGCTGTATCGCCTGCACCCGTTCCGGATTTGTTCGAAGCACGCCGCCGCCCACGATAAATATTTCAACGTTTTAAAGCAAAACTTCGACTTTTGTAACCCTATCGTCAGATTTGCCTTCTTGAGGCATTCAGCGACTCTCTTCAGGTACTCCAAGTGCGTATCAAAATCAGCCGCGAAGACTACCAAATCGTCCAGATATACTTTAACGTTGGACCTCAGTTCATTCGGTATGACCTTGTCCATCAGCCGGCACAACCTTTGAGCGGCGTTACACAACCCGAAAGGCATCATGCGGAATTGGTACAACGGTCGCCCTGGTACCGTAAACGCAGTGCACCTTCTACTGGACTCCTCCAACTCCACCTGCCAAAACGCAAATTTCAGGTCCACACTGGAAATATAATATGTCTGATCGATTCCAGATAGGATTCCCTCCACGCATGGTAGCGGATAGGCATCTTTTACTGTCAGTTTGTTCAACTTGCGGGCATCGAGGCAAAAGCGGTTCTTGCCCGGCCGTCGCACTATGGTGGTGCGGTTACTCCACGGACTATCGCCTACCTCGATGACGCCAAGCGCCAGCATGCTGTCCACCTCATCCCACACAATCTTCTGCATAGCGGGTGATAGAGGGTAGTGCCTGTCTTTCACTGGCTCTGCTCCGCTGACCAATTCAATACGGTGAGTCTCCAAAGTAGTCTTGCCTAATCCCGCTTCTTCGAAAGTTAAAAATTATTTTTTTACTTGTTCCAATTTCAGCTTTTGTTGTTCATTCAATTCCCACATATCTGGTTCCGGCCTTACTTCATCCTGGTCCGCATAATGCGCCACTCTATCAGCTAGCAATTCATCGAAGACAAGTCTTTTAACGGCTGGCTTTTCCGGAGGAATTAATAGTGGTGCCAAATTAAACAGCCGCCAAAAGTCGATGCCGAAATACGCGTTCTGTTCAAGTGATGGGCATACGTAAAATTCCACTTCTTTGGTCTCCTCTCGATACACCACTGGTAAACGCACTCGCCCAATTACGGCTCTGTCTTCACCGCCTGCTGTTTTAATTATTGAAATGTATTTTCTGGGCTCCACGCCAATCTGTTTCAGCAGTTCGAGACCGCGTTTGCCTAGCACGCTTACCGAGGCCCCGGTATCCAGCAAACCGCGTAGCACATGGCCTCGCACCCGTACTTCGGCAAAAATCCTCGGATCTGCTGCTCCTTCGCGTCGCACTGCCTCGGCTACCAGCTTCTTCGTCTGCCTTCTCACTCGGAATCGTGCTCGGGCCTTTTTAACTTTGGCTGTCACCATCCTCATTCCATCTAACTGATGTTGAGCAAAAATTCTATTGCGCGCCTCCAGATATGCCCGCATCTTTTCCTCATACGGTAAAAATTTCAACTTATTACTATATTGGGTATTTTTCTTATCAAATTCTTCTTTCAGGACCGCTCCGCTGTCATCCTGGTGGGCACCTGTGTCGAGCGCGATTCGCCCACTTGCTCCGCACTCCGACGGCCGTTTCCCGTGCACGCGGGGCATGTTGGACTATAGGTGTCGGGCCTGCCACACCTATAACAGAAGACGCGCCTTTCCGGTGACATGCAGTCGCGGAAACCAATGCCGGCTTGTCTGCAGTTCCAGCAAACTAACGCCTGTTGCGGACGCCTTGCCAAACGCGCCTCTTCAACTATGCCGAAATCCGCCGACTCCTCGCCGTTAGTGTCGTCGACCAACTCCTCCACTGCCGGTGGACGGTTTCCACCACTAAAACGTGTGCCGCTGCGTGTTGGGAACAAGCCTTCTCGCCGCTGGACCATAGCTTCCACCTCTACGCATTCGTCACGTAAGTGGTCTACCGTGTACACGCGCTTCGCATACACATAACGAGCTAGTTCTATTTTTAATCCTTTTTTTATATATTTCATCATCTCGTTTTCAGATGGTGCTGTTTGGAGACGCGACGCCAGTTTCCTCATGGCATGGATGTACTCCTCCACGCTTTCGTGTGCCTTCTGCCGTCTTTCGCGCAATTGACGCATGCGCTCGAATTCATCGGCGGCGCCTTTAAAACGGGACAGCATGCTTCGCTTAAGTTCTGGCCAGCTGTCTGCCCGGTGGTCCCTGACATACTGCCAGTACCACTCGCGAGCGTGCCCAGTTACTAACAGATGGAAACTGTTTAATACTTCAAACCATGCGCAGCGACACTGCCTCTGAAGGAACTCTACCTGGAAAACGAAGTCTTCTACCGCCATTTTCTCCTTGTCGCCGCTGAAAACGATGTCCCACTTCTCAACGCGGCACCATCCTGATCTGCCATTCGCCGCAGCATACGGAGGAGGTGGGTCCAGCTGACCACTCCAATCGTTACGCCTATTGCCTCTTCGACGGGCCGACTGTGCCGCGGGATTTTGCCAATTTCGAGCTGTGTTGCTGCTATTGCCAGCTCCACTGGAGGAATTAGCTGCCGCTGGCCTTGCTACCGGACGCGAAGTTCCTCTTGCTGGTGTTAGAGGTTCAGCCTGGTATTGATGCTGCCGTTTTGGCACCGCACCACGATTCTGGCTGACTGGCGGTTGCCATGCTCCATTTGCAGCTGAATCGCCGCTATTCGCTTGCGGTTGCAAGATTTCTTTGAGCGCGCCCATTAAGACATGATGTTGTTGATGCCCTCTTTTTGCGATTGGCGGTATGTTTCGTTCGCCTGGGCCACTGCTGCTTCTACCGCCGACGCGACTACTGGCTCGGCGTCCCAGTGTACTGCTGGTGCTATGGACGGCCTCGGAGGAGTGTGCATGAGGCCACCGGTTGAAAAACCCACGGCTCCTTCTAGGTGTTCCTCCAGATCATCATTTCTGGCAGTTCTCGACCTTGTGTTATACGCGCGCGCAGAATCCTTTTCCATTTCAATCAAAAAAAAAAACGCTTTGTTTTTTTATGATATTTATATATATTTTGGATTATAAATTTGTTCAGCTTTCAAGCAGGCCCCGAAGAAAAATTCGTTATTCAATTGAATTGATGTATATATATCTGTATTCCACACAATGAAAATGTTTGCAAACGCCCAAAACAACAAAAACAAATGGGCAAGAAAATATATGTACGCTGATTATGTATGATGGATAAATAAATAAATAAATAGGTACAACAATAAATAGATAAATATGTGAATTGGAATAAATAAATATGAATATAGTAGTAAAATAAAAAAACGAATCTTTAAATAAATTCACGTCCAACTTTGCACGGAAACCAAAAAAAAACATATATACGCTCAACCACAAGACAAATGTAACATATGTACATATATGCACCAAACGTAACCAAAAAGACTTAATAAAATGTGTGGCAGCCTGTCACTGCGAGCGTTGCAGAGAGCGGAGAGCATACTGGCTCTCATTGAGTCAGTCGTTTATATACACTTGTCAAGTGCGGATCGCACCGAAGAAATAATAAACATTGTTTGGTATATCTTAGTAATTGCGTGCAGTTGGTTTGTAATTATTGGGCAATTTGCAGGTCATTACATTGGCGACGAGAGAAAAACCGAAAAAAAAATAGAAAAGACCGATAAAGAATAAAATTCGTTTCGGCTGTATGTGTGTTAGTTTGGTACATACATACATATAAAAAAAACCAAAAAAAGGTGTGGCCACTTAAATGTAGCCTAAGAAATACTAAAAAAAAGTGTGGCCACTTGAATGTAGCCTAAAAAAAAAAGAAAACAAAGTAATGGCCGAACTTAAGCCATTCCTATGCAATAGCATAGACAAATCACTCTGGCGCTCCGAATGGGAGGTCTGGTTGCGCGCATTGAACATATATGCGGACAGCGAAGAGATCAGCTCAACTCTTAAAAAGCGCAATAAACTTCTGCATTTGGGAGGCTCACAACTGCAGTCTATTGTTTATAACTTGCCAGGACCGATGGTCCCTTATATTCCAGAGGAGCAGAACGATGTCTTCACACCTTTGGTGGAAAAATTAAATGAATATTTTTCGCCGATACGCAATTCGGTATTTGAGCGACATTTGTACCGTGGCATGACACCGCGGGATGGAGAATGTTTCACCGAGTTTCTTATGCGATTGCGTCAGCAGGTGAGGAAGTGTAATTTTGGCACTTCCAAAACAGAAATAGAAGAGATCTGTCTCAAGGATAAGCTAATTGATTCTTGGGCACCGGCTGAGCTGAAGAAAAAGTTGCTGTCAACTGAACAGTCCTTGGAGGGAGTCATATCTGCTTGTCTAATTGAGGAACAGGTGAGCAAGCAGACGCAAGCAATGTCATCAAATGGATGCTCAGGCTCTATGGTCAATAAGATTGCATCGCGCACGGCTAAATGGAACCACACCAAAGTAGAGTGCGGCAGATGTGGCCGAAATGATCATGATTCAAATAGTTTGCTTTGTCCAGCGAAAAATGCGGAGTGTAGCAGATGTTCCAAAGTCGGGCACTTTGCTAAGAGATGTCGGACTATTGTGAAGAGATCCGGCGGAAATCATCGAGGAGGTATAAAGCGGCGCTATGTAGATGAAGCACCGGTCCGAGCAGTGAGTGGTGGCCAACAATTTCACAATCCCTGTTTCCGAGTTGCGAATGATTGTGACATGGGCGAAGTCATTTCTTGCCGAGTTGGTGGTTTACCAATTAGCATGGTCATCGATTCCGGATTCGTTCGGGCATATGCTGCGGATTAGTTGTTACAGATTTCATGTGTGTTTGAAGCACCGATTGCAGTTGGAGGGAATGCTGAGTCTATTGCAACCTTTTATGTCATAAAAAAGGGTAGGCAATCGTTGCTTGGTCGCGAAACAGCCATAAAACTCAACGTGTTGAGATTGGGCATAGCTATAAATTGGGTCGAAAAGTTGGAACCTTTTCCAAAGTGGAATAATGTATCTATTCGTCTGTCAATTGATCCACATGTGAGGCCCGTCAAGCAACCAATGCGACGCATCCCAGCCGCCATTGAGGACAAGGTAAAAGAAGAGCTAGAATCGGCTTTATCTCAAGATATAATAGAGCCAGTACACGGACCAAGTGAATGGATTTCTCCAATAGTTATCGCATTCAAAGGTGATGGGAATATAAGGCTGTGCATTGATAGGCGGCAAGCGAATAAAGCAATTCAACGGGAAAATTACCCATTACCAACATTCGAGTCGTTTTTAACGAAGCTTAAGGACGCTAAGTATTTTTCTCGACTGGACTTGAAGAGTGCGTATCAACAATTGGAATTGCATCCAAATAGCCGAGAAATTACTACATTTATAACACCACAAGGACTGTATAGATACAAGCGTCTACTCTGCGGTGTTAACTCAGCACCTGAGATATTTCAGAAACTGATGGAGGAACGATTAGCGAAATGCCCGAATGCATTAAATTATATAGATGATGTAATTGTCTTCGGAAGTTCATTGGAGGAACACGACAAAATGCTCGAGATGGTAAAAGTTATTTTTAAGGAAAACAATATATTTCTCAACAAAGATAAATGCGTATGGAAAACACAGCGACTTAAGTTCCTCGGGCATATATTATCTGACACAGGCATTTCTGCTGATCCAGAGAAAGTAGAAGTAATTACGGCATTCAGGCCACCAAAGAACAAAGAGGAACTTCGTAGTTTCTTAGGCCTGGTCACGTACGTGGGAAGGTTCTTGCCAGATTTGGCAGACACAACAGAACCGTTGAGAAAGTTACTCAAAGCGGATGAGAAGTTTCTGTGGAACCACCAAGAACAGCAAGCATTCGACAAATTGAAAATTGGAGTTTCACGAGTTTCGGAGTTGGCATATTTTAACGTGAAATTAAAAACTCGTGTAATAGCTGATGCCAGTCCTGTAGCGCTGGGAGCGGTCTTAATACAGTTTGATGTCGAAAATAATCCATTTATCATATCGTTTGCAAGTAAGAGCCTTTCTGATGTTGAGAAACGATATTCGCAAACGGAAAAGGAAAGTTTGGCATTGGTATGGAGCGTGGAAAAATTTCATTACTATGTTGCTGGTCTGGAATTCGAGTTGGTAACTGACCATAAGCCATTGGAAGCGATTTTTAAACCAACTTCTAAGCCTCCAGCTAGAACTGAGAGGTGGTTATTACGCCTACAGGCATACCGTTTCCAGGTGATATATAAGTCTGGGAAGGAAAATATTGCTGACTCGATCTCACGCTTATGTAACGTTTCAAGTACTAAATCATTTGATTGGGGTGGAGAGGAAAACATATTCCATATGATTTCAATTTCTACTCCCACATCTTTAAATATATCCGAGATTTCCGAAATGAGTACAAGAGACGAGGAAGTACTAGATGCCATAACATGCCTGGACAATGACTGCTGGAATTCTGCAGCAACTAGCCCATATTATCCGTTTCGCCTGGAGCTGTCGAGTATTGGTAGCATTCTATTAAGAGGAAGTCGTCTGGTCATCCCCCAACAACTACGACAGAGAGTTTTAACATTAGCTCATGAGGGACACCCTGGAGAAGCAGCAATGAAAAGGCGACTGAGATCAAAAGTATGGTGGCCAAAAATTGACAGGGATGCAGAAAAATTTGTCAAGGATTGTCGTGACTGTATATTGGTATCTTTACCAGATAATCCAGTCCCAATGAGACGTCATGCATTTCCGAGTAGCCCATGGGTATGGGTAGCCACTGATTTGTTAGGACCGTTGCCAAATAATGAGCACTTGCTAGTTCTCATCGATTACTATTCTAGATACATAGAAGTAAAATTTGTACAATCAATAGGATCGAAGGTGCTTATTGAAGAGATGTCCGAAATTTTTAGTAGATTGGGGTATCCAAAAAAGTTAAGAACAGACAATGGCAGAAAATATGTGAGTGCAGAGTTTAAAAAATATTGTGAGACGAATGGAATTGACCTCATTACAACCCCTCCATATTGGCCTCAGGCTAATGGCGAGGTAGAAAATATGAATAGATCATTAGTAAAGCGGTTGAAAATAGCACATGTGAATGATAAAAATTATAGACATGAGATTTAAAAATTCATATTAATGTACAATGTTACTCCCCATGGTACTACGGGCTCGCCACCATCCGAGCTTATATTCAATCGCACAATTAGAGACAAGATTCCGGGAGTTCAGGATATAGTAGGGGAAGTGGGAGAATCGGAAGAGAGAGACAGGGATTTCATTAATAAGGAAAAAGGAAAAGAGGTGGCAGACAAAACTAGAAGAGCCACGGAATCTAAAATACAACTGGGAGATAAAGTAGTGCTAAAGAACGTGATTTTTCCTAACAAGTTAACTTCTAATTTTGATACAACAGTCTATGAGGTAATTCAGATAGATGGGAGCGTAGTAAAGATATCGGGAGGAGGTAAAACGTATTTGAGAAATATAAGTCATGTTAAAAAGATTTCAGGGGGTTCTAGTTTGCGCATCGAAGCTTCACAACAGTTGGATGGCAGCGAGCAAGAAAATGGTGCCTCACTTGGAACACAGCCACCACCGCTACCACAAGCCGAATCAATTCCCGATATCTCCGTGGAGCAGCCTGCAGATGCGCAGCAGAACTTGAAGCTGAAGCTGAAAAATATTGGAGGGATGTGGCAGCCTGTCACTGCGAGCGTTGCAGAGAGCGGAGAGCATACTGGCTCTCATTGAGTCAGTCGTTTATATACACTTGTCAAGTGCGGATCGCACCGAAGAAATAATAAACATTGTTTGGTATATCTTAGTAATTGCGTGCAGTTGGTTTGTAATTATTGGGCAATTTGCAGGTCATTACATTGGCGACGAGAGAAAAACCGAAAAAAAAAATAGAAAAGACGGATAAAGAATAAAATTCGTTTCGGCTGTATGTGTGTTATTTTGGTACATACATACATATAAAAAAAAAGAAACGGAAAAAGGTGTGGCCACTTAAATGTAGCCTAATGGAGGCCGTTTCGATACAGCCTAGGAAAATACTAAAAAAAAAGAAGGCGCGTTATTACGGCCCTTGTAATAGTTGGTCACTCTAAACTTGTTTTTCAAAGTAGCGTGGGCGCAGAGTTACATTGAGAATCGAATAAGAAGAAAAAGAAAAAAAAAAGAAAACTAATGGC